CTACATTTGAAAACCATGATGGGATTACAGCTGAGTAAAATTGATCCTCTGTAGGTTAGATACAGTTTATGATGTACACTTTAAAGACATAATGATATCTGGAGATTATTATATCACTTCTGTTTTATTAAAATATTTTGCTCTCATCTATTCACGACATTTGTATCAACTCCCCATGGCTCAGCTGTAAATTTGAGGGCTTACAATATTAAAATTCGAGGATCGATACCTAAGAATGGCACAGCGCAGATAGCCTATTTCTGCACATTTGCGCTTAAAAACAAACACAAGAGAGGCTGTATCGTTATATATATATATATATTTATTTATATATATAGAGAGAGATGGAGGGAGAGGGATATCCTCAATCTTCACATTTTATTCATTTATGCTGCTTAGGAAAAAGTACGATTTCAGCAGAAATGCGTTAAATATTGTAAAGTGTCGATAAGATCGTAAAAAGTTTTGGTTCTTGGGCAATCGAATGATTCTATTTTTACAGCTTTCAAAGTTATATTTTAGAAGGGAGTTGAAAATGAAGTTGTTAAAAATGTCAATAATTTCGAAGTGCAAGAAATTGATTGAGGTATTGTTTGCATTAACACGTGTTCCGGAGTAGGATTTCTTTCGGGTCTTGCTGTTGCACAACCTACTCACAGAACAACAAAATAAACAGCATTTGCTGCCAACAATATATTTGTAAAGTTTTGCCGAATAAACTATTTGTTCGTTGAATATATTGAATCTAAACCATCCTTTGCCACAATGTAACTTGAAAACAGTTACTTTTCACTAGTGTTACACCTCCATTAAAACTGCTTGTTCTGGACCAGCTTGAATGAGATGTTGTTTTTAGGATGAGAATATAAGGTTATCACGACAACAATTCTGTAATTCTAACACATGCCTGTAACACTAACGCACTCTTTTAGCTTTATCATATGTCTGTTTTCCAACACACTCTGTAACTCTAACACGCGTCTTGACTTTACAAAATAGTTGTGAAACTAATAAACATGTATAACATGTTTTTATCACTGGCACATGTTTGTTACTCTAATATTCTCTGTAACTCTAAAGCAAACCTGTAACACTAACATACAGCCGTAATTCTACCACATGTATGCAACTTTAATATTCTCTAATAACTCTAAAACAAGCCATAAACACTAACATACGGCTCTTACTCTACCACATGTATGTTACTCTAATATTCTCAAATAACTCCAAAACAAGCCAGAGACACTAACGTACAGCCGTAATTCTACCACATGTATGTTACTCTAATATTCTCTAATAACTCCAAAACAAGCCAGAAAACACTAACATACGGCTCTTACTCTACCACATGTATGTTACTTTAATATTCTCTAATAACTCCAAAACAAGCCAGAGACACTAACGTACAGCCGTAATTTTACCACATGTATGTTATTCTAATATTCTCTAATAACTCCAAAACAAGCCAGAAACACTAACATACGGCTCTTACTCTACCACATGTATGTTATTCTAATATTCTCTAATAACTCCAAAACAAGCCAGAAACACTAACATACAGCCGTAATTCTACCACATTTATGTTACTCTAATATCCTCTAATAACTCCAAAACAAGCCAGAAACACTAACATACAGCCGTAATTCTACCACATTTATGTTACTCTAATATCCTCTAATAACTCCAAAACAAGCCAG